AAAAATCCACACAAAGGTTTAACGGTTTAATCATTTCCATGTATTTTGAGGTAGTTTTCAATGAACTAAATTGTTGTAAGGTGTGGTGTTGACTCTCTCACTGGAAGTTGCGAGGCATCTTTCCTTACTATCCTCAGTTGCCATAGTTTTCCTGGATGCCTGACTTTACTTCCTAGACCCAGAGAGAAACAAACCTCCGAGTGCTTGGATCTTGTCTCCTACCTTTGCCTTTTGTCCTGCTCCTTGACTAATGTGGTTCTTGGGGACCTACACCTGCCCTTCAGGTGAACAGTGCCTTTACACCCTGATGCATGGTCAGTGCTAGGTTATTAGGACACCTGCCGAGTGGAGGAAACTCTGAAAATAGCACCATCCAATCTGCCTTACCCTCTCTGCCTGACTTGTTCATCATTCTTAGATCTCCCAGTCTACTCTGTTGATTTAATTACATTCAAAATGTTTGTTTTGTTTTGGTTTTGTTCCTCTGCTAGAGAAATGACGTTTCTCATATATTCTTGAACAAAGCCCTCTCCTCTGTCTGGAGCATGAGCAGCTTTGGGAGAGGTGTTATTTGGAGAGATGAGGAAGCGAAGATCACCTTCCTAGCCAATAAGATAACTGATCAACAGGATAGTGTGAGTGAAAGCCGGATCTCCTTCACATCCAGGTGTCTTTATGCACATACCATACTGAGAACACTGTGGATAGCTCATGCATTAGCACATGCTTTGGCCCATAAGTACGAAAAGAATGGTGTCTATAATGTCCATAGGAGATATCATATCTCCTAGGTGGGGAGGTAAGACATGAAACTCCAGCTAACTTTTAAGGCTGCCAATTTATCTAAGTGGAAATGCAGTAAGTTCGGGGCCAAGGGAGACCACTGTGGTCCCCAGTGTATGGGCAAAACTTCCCAAAGGGATGAAACTTGAAGCAAGCCCTATAAGAATGTTTATTATTAACTTTGCCTCCACAATTTCCTGCTTCTTACCATTAGTGGATCTTGGCAGCCGGTTTTGCTGTCTTAGAATAGAGAATACTTACGGAGAGCCTAATAATACAGATCCTGGTGCTTTGTGCATTTCTGCTTAAAAACCAACTTCTCTTAACTCCCAAGATCCTAATAATAGAAAATGGTTAACTTCTCTTTGAGCAAATGTAGCTGTCCTGTTCTCCTGACAGTTTTTCTTCTTCCCCATTTAGATTATAAATACACAGGAGCCTGGGACCATGTGTTTCTTATCCTTACTTTGTAATTCCCTATGGATAAGACTGGCCCGCTTCGTACATTGTAATCTAATCACTCACTAAGAGGTCTCTGTATTTGTTGAAGGTGATGGATTAGCCTTTCAAGCACCCCAGCCCAAGCACTGCTGGTTGTCTTGGGCATACCCATCACCTGCCTTCTTCTGCTCTCTGTTTTCTCTTCCAACCAAATATGCCCCTGTTTGTTGTTTTTTTCCCCCTGATCACTCCGTTTCCCTAGCATATTAAATATACTTTTATGGAGATGTCAAGACTTCTCTTAAGAATATGGGCTTTTATTTGCGGCGGCCCACATGCATTAACGGGAGATAGGCATGTTGGCTGATGAAATCTGCCCAAGTACAGAGAAAGCCTTAATTGAAAGCACCCAAGTTAATTTTAAAACCCATCAAGTTAATATAGCTTTACTTTTTCATTTAGGAAATGTTTTTAGCTACTATGTTTTCATTCGTTTAATATAATCTTTCCTCAAATTTACTTGAATTCACTTTTTTTTTTCCAGTTCACTAAAAATATTTTTCTCCAGCTATTGTTTTTAGACAACTAATGAACCTTTTCTCTGTGGTTCTCTCCTACAAATGGGCTGGTTTCAATATGTGGGTTTTAATTTATATAATTGCTGTCTCTTATTCCTCTTTGTGATCCACTTTCCATTCTGTTTAGCAGACACTGGTTGCTTTGTAATTTTGAAAAAGGAATAGCATGCGTGTATACCTGGAAAGATAACAGCAAAATTATTCTTAAGTGAAATGTTGTATCTTGTAAACTATTTTTGGTAGACTGTCATCTTGAAACCTAACTTAAAGCAAATATGGATGTCTTCTCATCATTAATGCTACACCGATTCATTTCTTTAACATTAAAGAGGTATTGATTAGCTTCCTCCTCTGTGCCAGATACACTTTCAGGTGGTGAGGATCTCGCATTGAACTAGACAGACAAGGACCTTGCTCTTTACCAGCATACATTCTAGCCGAGGCTACAGTTGAGATGCAGACAGCAATCACATACAAAGATGGCAGTTGACTTCCCAACTCTTCTTCCCTTTACCATTGCTTCAAGGTCACATCTATGACCTTGTTACCTGTAGTGTTGTGTTAAATTTAGTCTCACGGTACTACTACCCCCAATCTCGTGTTTAAGGGCCTTGTTCTAGTACAAGAGAGAAAGAATAGAGATGCTCCTGAGAGGGTCAAGTTTCTTGTTGTTACTCTGGAACTAAATGTGCTTTACTCTCAGAATTGTAAAGGTGAGAATTCATTCACTCATTCAGCAAACACTTATTAAACAGTGTATCAGTCAGGGTTCTATTATGTTCCAGGCTTTTATAACCCCTACATGCCCTTAAGTACCTCACACTCTAGATGGAGGGTGAGAGACATAAAATAAAAATTACTGATAAATGTTATAATAAAAACATACATATATCAAATAAGGGGAGCACTACAAAAGCAGGAACTAACTCTACGCGAGAGCAGGTTTCACCATCAGGTCACTTCTAAACTGCATCTTAAATTTTTTTTAATGTTTTATTTTTTGAGAGACAAAGAGAGACACAGCGTGGGCAGGGGAGGGGCAGAGAGAGAAGGAGACACAGAATGCAAAGCAGGCTCTAGGCTCTGAGCTGTCAGCATGGAGCCTGATGCAGGGCTCAAACCCACAAGCACGAGATCATGACTTGAGCCGAAGTTGGACGCTCAACCAACTGAGCCACCCAGGCACCCCACTTCTAAACTGCATCTTAAAGGTGGCTGGAAATAGAGCATGCTTCATTTATTCAGGGAATGTTTACTGAGCACCTTCTATGAGCCAGGCACAGTTGTAGGCACCATAGACACTGCAGTGAACTGGACAAAGTCCCTGTTCTCTTTGCAGCAGAGAAACCTACAATAAGCATATGACAAATAATTATATATTAGGTAGTGATGCCTATTAATACCACAAAACAAAGCTTTAATAAGGGGAACAGAGAGTGATAACGGTTACTATTTTAAATAGGATAGTCAGAGAAGGCCTCTAATGAGATGACATTTGAGCAGAATCCTGAATGAATGAGACCAAAAAGCAAAGGGAAGCCATTTCAGACAGAAGGGCCAGCATGAGTAAAGGTATAATAGTTGTGAAAAGTATAACATCTTTAGTGCAAAGTGAGATATTCTCACTGAGCAAGATGGAATGCAAGCAGGGAGAGTGTGGTAGGAGGCTGGGAAAGAAGGAAGAGAGGGAGGGAGGAAGAAATGGGAAAGGTCAAGAACAGTTTCTGGGTCTAAGCTTGGGTGACTGAGTGGGTGATAAAGCCATCAGCCAACTCAGGGACCCCTGGAGGAGAGGCAGTTTTAGGAATGCAAATAATGAATTTGATTTGGGGCAGTGGGAAATACAGAATTGGATATTAGGAGTCAGGGCTGAAATACAAATTTGGCTTTTACCAGCATGTCATGGAAATTTAAAAAGAAGGAGCAAGAAGAGTAGTCAACCTTGTCAGATACTGCAGAGAATTTTAATAGGATGAGAATTTTTAAAAGGCCATCAGATTTGACATTTGGAAGGTTGGCAATAACTTCAAGAAGGCCAATTTCAGTAGATGTCGATAGGGCAAAGCCACATCATGGTTCAGTTAGAAAGTGAAAGGGTAAGAGGCTGGGATCGTCCAGCCAAGGTGACTGTCTTCTCCCTTCCCAAAGCTCTTCCTTGGAAGCTTTGAACCTGAGGTCAGATCTTCTCCCACTCCTTCCTTAACTGTCTTCACATAAAGCCTAGTACTGGATGCTTGAGATGGGGACATGGTGGAGGGACAAATATTCTCAGATCCTTGGGTCTCTGATGGGAAAGGGGCCAGGGATAGGGGAGCCTGATGTTGGTGAAGCAGGTATTAAAGGGAGCATCTTCAGTGGGGAACAGCAGGTCGGGCCTGTTCTGAGACCTGTCTCCAGAGGGGGAGAAAGATGAAACATATAAGTCTCTGTCGTATGTGGAAACCGGACCAGGAAGCTGAGGTAGGCTGCAGAGCAAAGGCTCTGGGGGGCTGGTGGGGGGAAACATGAATAATTAGTCAAGAAACTCAGCCCCGGTGAGAGAGTACAATGGCAAAGCGTGAGGGCTGGGAGTAGAAGCTGACAGTTAACTGACAGACACTAGAAGAAATTTAGGGAGGAATGCTTAGGTTTCTTAGAGCACAGGAACTGAAGATGGGCAGGGAAGGCTATTGGCAGTGCTTGTGACCACAATGATAGCAGTGAGGGGATGGTTAATGAATTTAGGAATGGTCCCAGCAATACCTGGTATATAGATGTTCAACAAATATTTGTGAAGCCAAAAGGGGTCATTCCTCCACAGATAATGTGGAGGAAAAGGATTCGATACTGGAGTTCTGAAGAGCTGTTAGAAAATGCCTAGGTTCCCTTCAGGGAGAGGATGGAGGCAGTGACTGAGATCCCAGACCTCTTAAAAGTACAAAGCCAGAGAGAGAGAGACCTATACCACGGAGGGAGTTAGAAGCATAGACCAGGGTGGGAAACCCACTCGTTTAATCCTGCAGACCCAAGGGATTACCGGTAGGTCTACTAGATTTCCTCACCCCGGCCCAAATACACCCCTGGCCTCAGTTTCTCTCACCTGCACCTCCATCTCTGCCCACTAGGGGGCGGGGCTCGAGGGCAAGGCTGGCGGCTGTTCCGAAGCCTCGAGGACCATCAGTTCCTACCAGACTCCCTGCTCCGGTGCCGTCTTACCCCATGGCGGGACCCAGGCCCTCATACTTCTCCCCACTGCCAGGCAGTGGTAGTGGCGGGCCCAGAGGACCGGTGCCGGTGCGGGTTGACACTCCGGTCTGGTTGACCGCCCAGGCGGCTCCGAGCATGCTGATGGTCCAGCCGGGAATCCAGCAGGGGGTCAGCCCAGGCCCTGAGGTGTGGGAGATGCCCCTGGGTCCCCTGCCATACAAATTCTGGGGCGGGATGGCACCCTGCACGCCCGGGGTCGGAACTGGCAAGGTGGGAGCCTGGTTCCCGAGCCCCTCAGAGGGCACCTTCCCCAGGCCCTACATCGTCCTGCAGTGCATCCCAAGGTTGGCACTGCCAGAGGACGTCTCAGCCATAGAGAAAGAGATGGAGCAGCTGGCCAAGGAGCTGAGGCGAAAGAGAATGGCCCTGGGGTACTCACAGGCCAACGTGGCGTTCGCCGTGGGGGCTCTCTTTGGAAAGGTTCTTAGCCAGGCAACCGTCTGCCGCTTTGAGGGCCCAGCAGCTCAGCATCGCCAACATGTGGAAGTTGGGACTGCTGATGAAAATGTGGCTGGAGGAAGTGGACACCAAGAACTTTATGGGTGTATGCAAAATAGAGATGATCCTGCAGCAGGCTCGGAAGCGAAGACAGGAAAGCAGGGAGCGACGCATCGTAAACTATCTGGAGAAACTCTTCTTGCAGTGCCCGAAGCCCACACCCCAGCAAATCAGCCGCATCGCTGGGCAGCTCCGGCTACAGAAGGAACTGGTCCGAGTTTGGTTCTATAATCGGAACAAGATGGGTGGTCAGCCAACCATTGATTTCTCCCCACAGGAGGATGTGGGGGCAGGGGGGTGGCCTCCTTTCCCAGGGGGGGCAGTATGCTTTCCTCTGGCATCAGGGCCCCATTTTGGTTCCCCCTGCTATGAAGAGCCCTATTTTATACACTTCACCCCTTACCCTGTGGAGGGGACCCACCTCTCTGCCCCAGCCACCCCTCTTGGCTACTCCACGCTTTCAAACTGAGGGGCCCGCCCTTCTGGGCAGAGCTGAACTGGGGAAATGGGTGATGCCTGAGGTTCATTTCAGGGCTGTTAACATTAAGAGCTCCATTAACTGTCTAAAGAGGTTGATACTTAAGGGATGGTTTGGGAGTTGTTTAGGAAATTCAGGGGAGGGAAGTTGAAGTTTATTATTCCAGTGTTTTTACCTAGCATTGACTTTAAGGTACATTACGTATATGGTTTAGGATATTTTGTTTCTCTCTTTCTCTGTTATTAATTGAAAATTACTTGTGTCTGTTATTCCTTGTGATTATCAGTAAACATCGGATTTTTTTCCTTATAAACACACCATTGGGTGAAAAATTCAAACACAGAAGATTATTTCAGTATACCTTTTTTTTTTTTTTTTTAATCAAAACCAAGCAGAACTTTATGTAAAAATAAACATAGAGTCCAAGATAATAGTAACCTCTGGGGGAAGGTTTGAGGTTGGGTACAGAAAGAGTATACAAAACCTACCCAAGGGACCATGCTGAAATACAAGTGTTTTCTTGTGCTCCTCCCTTTCTTGAAAGATGCTTTTTTTTTTCCTCCTATTCACCTTTTCATTTAGAGTGCTCAGTTTCAGGTGGAGGTCTCAATCCAGATCTCCACCTTATGGAATCGCACTGGTTTATCCACAGTCCTGCCCAGGTCATTGTGTTTGGAACCCCTTTCTTACTGAGGTTGGCAAGGTGGACAACACTTGCTCAGCCTCAGCTCCAGCTTACTTCTCTGGTTCTCAGCTCCATTTGGTTTATTACCTGGCTGTTTTCCTTACTTTCTTTTGAACTCAGATATGCATCTTAGAGAATATCTGTGATGGTTGAGTCAACATTCCTGGTTTTTGTGATGGTGTATCTTATACCACTTTTCCAATCTCTCCTACGAAATTGGTCTTTTCTAGTTTTCTCCTTCTACATTGGTAAATTTTGATCATCATATACTAAACAGACATACCTGCATGTAATATTTATTGCTTTCTGGTTCCATCACTGAATATTATATATGAGTTTGTCTTCTTAATTACTAATCTTGTCAGTTTTTTCTTTCTCCGTTTTTTCCCCTTAATCAGTTCTTACAAAATATTTATCTATAGGTATTTTCAAAGACCAAGTATTTGTAAAAATGTTTATCTTATTTACTGCTGTTTTTATTTTATTTTATAATTAATTAACTTGTAGCTTTTATTTCTATTAATTGCTTTTTTCTAGTTTTCTCTGATTTCTCCCGATGTATATTTTTCTCTTGTCAGTGTTTGAAGATAAAACACTGATGATACATAGAGGTTTGTGAAGATAGAGACAAACTTTAGATTCAACAGATGACTAATCACTTATTCTTGGAATCTCCCAGTAAAAGTCACAGAGCACCAGTCTCATTTCTTCCTTTTCCCAGACAGCCCTTCTGGACAACCTTGAAAGGGAGATGTTTCTGCAGAGGGCCAGGTAGTATTTAATGCTGGGATGAACAACTGTGGTTGTGTCAACATTCAGCTCCTAAAAGATATGAGGAGGCTCTCTCTTACCCAGGCTGCTTCTTGAATTCTGTAGCCCCTGCATATTTGGAGAATTGGTAATGGGCTTTTGATCTCGGGAACAGCTCCAAGGACCTGCATCAGCACCTGCACAGCTGCATCTTGCACACAGCTGCTGCACCTCTGGTTAGGCAAGCACCACGTTGTGTCATTGATCAGCCTTCACATAACTTAAAATGCGATTTTTCCATCACTGGTCCTCTTGACTTGACTATGTAAAGAGAAAAGGCTGGACCTTAGGGAAACTTTGATCTTTAAAGGATTTCAGGTTTTTCAAAGATTTAAGATTATGGGTAGAAACCTTAATAATAAAACCCCCCAAAACTGAGAATTGAATTGCCCTTAGAATTGGGAGAAAACCAACAATGTGGTGTCAGTGCTGAACAGTATCAAATATACAGAGATGAAAGTAACATAAAATCAAGTCAGATATACCATGTCGCTAGCAAAGGTGTCAGTGATACTAGAGTGAAAACATTTTCAGTGGAATGGTTGGCAGAGGCAAAAGTCAAACAGTAGTCCAGAGTCTCCGTATTTACCAGATTTCCCCTAATGTCAATTAAAAACACGAATTCCAGCCACTCAGTAAGATCTTCACCGTCATTCCGAAATATTTCTTTTATCAAATGTTTCCTTTATCTCATGTTTTCTTTAGACAAGGCAAGTATTCTTAACCTGAAGACGTCGAACCCCTTTACAGTACAGGCAGAATAGTGTGTTTGTACATGTGTGCATCTTTAAAGATGGTGATGATAGCTTTTATCACATTCTCAAAGGAGACGTAGCTCTTTGTAGATCTACGGTTTCAGAATTTTAGAAATACATTCCCTTTGGCCACCTTACTCTCAAGAGTTTTCCCTTGACCCAATACCAGTCTAACAGGTAATTCCTGGTTTTCTTTGAATCTGTATATTCTGGATATCTCTAGCTCAGCGTAGAATAGAGGACCTGAACCACTTCTTACATAAGTCTTTCAAATTCAGCCAAATACTCTATTAATTATTGCCTTTATTGTTCTTATACTTTAATCAGTCTTTGACACTTTAATGAGTTTCCTATCATAAAGAACAATTTCTCTTGTTCCTAGAATCTTTCCTATCTATTGTTTCCTATCATAAAGAACAATTTCTCTTGTTCCTAGAATCTTTGCTATCTGTTGTCTAAGAAAACTTGAAGTGTTAAGATATGCTCCCTTATTCCAAAACATTGTTCTTGAAATATCATCTAAATGTTTTCTATAATTTCATATTTTTCAAGTATACATACTATACATCTTTGCCTATTATACTAAAACTACATCAGGAGATTTATTTTTCATTGTAGCCACTTCTGTTTATAGCTTTCTTCTAGAAATCGTCTTGCTTACTAAACAGTATTCGTTTCCTTGGCAGAATCTATTTTTTTTTAGGGTACAAGATTGTATTATCTATGTAAAACAGTGTTTTGAAAGTGAAAACTACAATGCCCTCCAATAAAATCCTAGTGGAATATGAGAGTATTTCTTGACAAGGTGGTTGTAAATGGAAAGAATAAAACTTAGGAAAATAAAATTTTGAAGAAGAGAGTCAGGGTGTCCTTGTCCTACCAAATATTATGAAACTACAATAAACAGTATGGTGGTGGTTACAGACAAAACTAACAAACAATTATTTGACTATTCCATTTTGTGGGAGTGTGAATTGAGGCAACCTTCATGAAAGGCTATTGGATAATTCATATGGGAAGTTTTAAAATGTGATTTTTCTTTGGACAATCATTTCAACTTTAATGAATTTTTATAAGAAAAAAATTGTATGTGTGTGCAAAAATTTAGTGATGAGGGTGGTCATTAAAGCATTTTTTTAACAACAAAAAGTTAGAAACACCCTAAATGTTCAACAAAGGCTAAGTAAATCAAAAGGACCACCATATATGGTAAAAATTGTATTATAGAGTTACAGTTTTCACAAAATTCAGAATAGATTGTTGAGTGAGGCAAAACAGTTTATTAAGCTTTATGATACTTTTTATTTTTTAAGGAAAAGGTGTGTTACATATAGAAATATATACATAAGTAACTATCGTTGGTGATTTTATAAAATTGTTCTGCTATATGTATTATACAATAAAAATATTTAAGAAACATTTCTAAAGGAAGGTGCTAGGAAATCTAGAGTTCCTAAAAGTATTCATTCTTCCAGTCTTTTTTTATCTATAAAATGGTAATTTTTAATTATAAGGCAATTTTATTTCAAAATATTAAATTTGGCCTTTTCATTTTTAGTCAGATCTGTAGTTTCTTTAAAAAGAAAGGCAGTTCTCTAAATGGAGGAGTATTGGGATATATCAGAGACACATTGCTAAAAATTAGTTTTTTCCTTTAAATCAGATGCCCATTAATGTTAAAGAGCTGTAGTATAGCTTAGTGAGTGAAGACACCTGCCATATGTCTGTTTTCCTGCACAACATGGTAATTTACAATTACAATCAGTGTGTTTATATACCTCAGTGGTGTTAACCCATATTTAGAATATAATATAAGCCCAAATCATCTTCATGTTTCTGAATGTTTACTTTTCAATTTTAAAAACCATTTCAAAGTATCAAAATCCTGTTTTTATCACAGTAGAATCCTCCTTGCTTGTCGTATATGAAGAAACCAAATGAATATAAATAAGATCCATAGACTTCTAGGTTTGAAGGCAGGGTCAGTTCCTGTGATTACAGCCCCAGGTGAAAGGTGAACTGTCATGAAATGAATCTACCCCTATACCTAGTAAAATCCTTAACGCAAAGCATTAGCATAATCACAGTTACACCAGTGAATAGAAACGTTACCAGACGATCTTGAAGAGACTGTGTTGTTTACGTCCGGGGCTATCTTCAGAAGACAGTGCAGCACATCAGTGTGTTGGGCTGCTGCCCTGCCACCTCACTTTTAGCTCGGAACCCTGCTGTGAATTCTGCTACAGACAAAATTAGCTACTTTGGCATTGAACTTGGGCTTTTTAGACTTGCATCCCCCAGTTTCCAACAAAATGATGAAGTACCAACCAACTTCACTTATTACTGTTGACTCTGCTACTGACTGCCTGCCAAAGACTAGGGTTGGAAAAGGAAGAATTGAGGCCTTCCTGAGAATTCACTACATTTTGGATTCAATATTCGTTTCTAAAACTGTACAACCTGTTATATCTCTTCTTTTTCTCCAAAAGAGTAACTGCATTGTTTAATAATTAGTCTTCTTCTTCCCCCCAGGATGTATGGTGTAGAACTCCTTTTAGTTGTTGGTGCAATGGCCAGGGCAGTGTATAAGATGCTTTAAGTTGATTTATTATCTTAGAATGGATGATTATGTTCCTAGAACAGCTGTAAAACTTTGACTATTATTGACTGAGTAGTGGGCAAATCTTAATATATACCTTTTTGTTAAAGGAGAGTTTGGTTCAGTATACCATGTCTTAGTT